AAGCTCATTCCTTAAATCAAGTAAAACTGCCAGTATAGTGAGATACTTTTACGTAATAAAATTACTTAAAACAAGCAAAAATGTCTAGAAATAAGGTAAATAATCTTAAATTAAGCTTATAACAATCTTAACTGGAGAAATATGGGATTTATTATATTTATTTATATATAATTTATTTATTTATTATATTTATTTAAGATAATTGTACTTGACAAGATACTATTTTTTGCAGTGCAGAGACCAATAACTTTACATTCTTCCTTTTCTAATCATTTCAATTATGGGTTTCCTGTGTTACTTTCACTCCATACAGAAAGTAACACAGAAATTATGTTAAACCTAACAGCTGTGTGTGTGAGAGTGAGTGTGAATGTGTGAACAATTCAGACTAGATCTCACACTCAGACACACACACACACACACACACACACACACACACTCCAGCACTGATATCTGCACTACAGCACTGCAGCAGTATCAGCAACATCACTGCAGGATTCATTTAATATTAGTCAGTTTCTTCAGTGTGTCGCTCTGAAAACTCCTTCACTTCAGTTCTTCATTCTCATAACTACACAACTTACATATTAGCTTTATAGTAGCATGCGAAATTTACATATAGTGCTGTGAAAAAGTATTTACTCCCTTCCCAATCTCTTCTATTTTTGCATATTTGTCACACTTGAATGTTTCAGATCATCAAACTACGTTTAATATTAGACAGAGATCACCCAAATAAACACAAAATGCTGTTTTTAAATTAAGTTTTCAGTTACTGAAGGAAACACGCTGTTCAGCCCTACCTGGCCTCATGTGAAAAAATAATCGCCCCCTTAGCTACTAAATCAACCAGTTAACCAAATTAAATTGACTATCGGGTTCATTTTCACTGCCACACCCAGACATGATCACTGCCAGACCTGCTGAATCTAAACACCACTTAAATAGAACCTGTCTGGCAATGTGAAGCAGCTAGAACGTCTCAAAAAGCGGCACATGACGCCACGTTCTAAAGAGATTCAAATACAGCTGTGAAACAAAGTCACTGAAATCTACCGTCTGGAAAGGGTTACAAAGCCACTGCTGAGGCTCTGGGACTCCAGAGAACCACAGTGAGAGTCATTATCCACAAATGGAGGAAACTTAGAACAGTAGTGAACCTTCCCAGGAGTGTCCAGCCTACCAAAGTTTCACCAAGAGCGCATCGACGACTCATCCAGGAGGTCACAAAAGAACCCAGACCAACATCTAAAGCAGTTCAGGCCTCACTTGCCTCAGTTAAGGTCAGTGTACACGATTACACAATAAGAAGGACACTGGGCAAAAATGGCATCCATGAGAGAGCCGCTAGACGCAAACCACTGCTGACCGAAAAGAACATAAAGGCTCGTCTAAGATTTGCCAAAAACATCTAGAAAAACATCTAGATGACGAATCTGATGGTTGTTGGGATAATATTGGGATAATATTCTGTGGACTGATGAGTCAAAGGTGGAACTTTTTGAAAGATCTGGGTCCCGTTACATCTGGCGTGAAGCTAACACCACATTCCACCATAAGAACATCATACCAACAGTGAAACATGGTGGTGGTAGTGTGATGCTCTGGGGCTGCTTTGTTTCTGCAGGACCTGGACGACATCACAACTGATGGAACCATCAACTCTGCTTTATATCAGAAAATCCTGAAGGAGAATGTCCACCTGTCAGTTTGTGACCTAAAGCTCAAGTGTAGTTGGGTTATGCAGCAGTGACCATGCAGACAATGATCCGAAGCACACAAGCAAGTCCACCTCTGAATGGCTCAGAAGAACCAAAATGAAGGTTTTGTAGTGGCCCAGTTAAAGTCCAAGACCTTAAAGGGGCAGCTCACGCTCGAAAATCCTCCAGTAAAGCTGAATCTAAACAATTCTGTAAAGAAGAGTGGACCAGAATCCCCCCACAGTGATGTAAAAGACTCATCACAAGTTATCACAAACGTTTGACTGCAGTTGCTGCTGCCGAGGGCAGCAAAACCAGGTTTAGGGGGCAATTACTTTTTGACATGGGTGACAGAGGTGATAGATACTCGTGTTGTCTTTATCTGATATTAAAATGAGTTGATCTTAAATATTTAAATGTGACAAATTAGCAAAAATAGAACAAATTAGGTGAGGGGCAAATACTTTTTCACAGCACTGTATTAGATTCATAGTAGTTAGCAGAACAATTAATACTAGATAGTATATAACAATAAGTGAATAAAGCCTAAAGGCTTAATATTACTGTATATATATATATATATATATATATATATATATTGGTTATACAGGATAGTATTGGGGGCATATGGTAATACTATACAGTAGCCTGTATGGGGTTTATGGCACAGCCTATAGAAGGTAAATTGTATGGTGTTTTTGGGTTATATAGGATTGCCTATATGGGGTAGTCTATTGAGGGTATACAGGGGGAGCCTATATGGGGTGTATGGCACAGAATAGGCCTATATGATGTATATAGTATGGTCAAGATGGGTTATATAGGTTTGCCTATATGGGGTAGTCCATATAGGGTATACAGGGGAAGCCTATATGGGGTTTATGGCAAGCCTAGCCTATATGAGGTATATAGTGTGGTCTATATGGGATATTTTGGGTAGACTATATAAAGGTATATGGGGTTTATAGGGTTGCCTATAGGTTCCCAAACCTGGTCCTGGAGGACCCCCAGCCTCGCACATTTTTGTGTTTTCCTGCCAAAACACACCACACAAACCGGGTGGTAGCCTACATGGGGTATATGGGATGGGATATGTGGGGTGTATGAGGTAGCCTGTATGAGTTGTATGGGGCAGCGTATGTGTGGTATATAGGGTTACATCACAATACAGTATGCTTTTCTGAACATATTGTGCATGTTGTCAGTACTTGTCGCACACTGACCAACAGAAAACAAATGTCCTTATTGTATTATAGTAACTCCGCTGTAACATGATGCTTATTTACACAGCTGTGCAGACTTTACATTTCTCCACAGAGTCATATTGTTTTATGTATCTACTGCAGATGTATGGATATTCATCTCTTAAGCTCCTCTCCACGGCTCTTTATTATTCACTGTTCTTTATTCTATTAAATGTATTTTTATTTTATTTTCCTCATAGTTAAATACTTGATTGACTGATTCAATTATTGCCACACACGTTGACGGATAACTGTATCCGGTGCAGCAAGATTTATTCATGTATGCATGTACACTAAACAATATACAATATTTATTACAGGGAAATCATGGAAAATTACACAGTAACTTCATCTGTGTTACAAAGGCCAAAAATCTTAGAGACTATAATGACTTTCACGAGTTTAGTGACCTCATCACAGAGGGAAAAACGCTGATCTAGTCTTAGTTTTCAGCTCCTCCCAGAAGGAAGTGTCTGAAAAGTTCGTACACTGGATGAGAGGAATCTGTACTTATTCCCTTTGCTCAGTTAAGAAAGCGCTGAGTACGAACAGAGTCAGCTGAGGGAAGTGATATTCCAGTTATCTCTGAATCTTTACCGACAGTAGCAGTCTGTGCTGTCTGGTCTGGTCAATGTGTTGTGTGTCATATATGTGTGACTCATCAAGACTAACTGCTCGTATGTGTTACATGTTAGGTGAAATAAAGTGATTCTGAACTGCATGTTTTCATTATAAAGAGAGCAAAATTGGCCCAGATTTAGTGACAAATACTGAATAAAAATCACTCTATTCTATATTCCATATATAGGTATATGGGGTGGTCTATATGGGTATTCTGCATGGGGTATGTGGGGAACACACACACACACACACACACACACACACACACATACATACAAACATATATACATACATATACATATACATATACATACATATATATGTATGTATGTATATGTATATGTATGTACGTATGTATGTATGTATATATATATATATATATTCGCTCCACTGTGTACTTGTACATAGATGGAATGACAATAAAAGACTCTTGACTTGATATATGATGTGGCTTATTGTTTACCAATAAGTTTTCTGTAGTAGACCTTTAGATCATAACAGGACCAGCTGGGTGAGCTTCAAATTTCAACACTTCCAGTAAAACTAGTTTTTACCTACTTCAGCTGAGAAAGCATCCAGTATCACTAGATAAGCTGGACAACTTAAACCAGAAGCACAGATCGTTTAAGAATGTTCCAGCTATTGGATAAGCTTGACCTTTGGGATTAAAGGAGAATTCCACTGATTTTTCTAAATTCCTCCATAATTAAGTCTTTCAGATGTAACGAAACGTGAAACGGTTCAGATGTCTTTACAGTGGTGGTGATAGGAACCAGGGGTCGCCATGACTACAACACACATATAGACATTTTATTTACTATCCAGAACCACCAGTGAACCTACACGAGTCTTCTGAGTTTATATGGAATGTTGATGATGGAAAATAGTGGAAAATCTGAAATAATAAGTTTTCTTTGGGACTATTTTGCCTCAGCGCCCTGCATGTATCCCTCCACCATGAATGGAGTTTAAGCTCTCAAAACGATCATAAAACAGTGTCTCAGTCATCAGACAGTGAATTCATAACCATTTCATGTAGGAACTTTCTGTGAGGGAGCTTTTAGAGGTGGACGTCTGGTTCCTATCATCACCACTGTGAACAGTTCTGACTCGGTAAGTTTATCTAGAACAGAGCGTTTCACACCAAACCACTCTGAACGGCTGTTTACATCTTAACCACTTAATTCTGTAGAACTTTTGGAAAGTCGGTGGAGTTCCCCTTTAAGTCTAACTGAAAACACACACACACCCTGCGAGCAGCTGCGACCCACATTCTTACACACACACTTGGCTTTTCAATTCGCCAGCTTCTTATTCGAACTCTCCGTTCCACCTTAAATCTGCAGCAGTTACAGTCTGATGCCTCAGGCGCCAGAATGTAACTGCTGCACCATTTAAGGTGGAACGGGGAGAAAGCAAACTTTCGACATCTTACCTCACTGATCTCAGCGCTGCTCCGTGTGTGTGTGATAAAGTTTGTGCCCCCTCTCCTTCTCTGTTCTTGTGTTTTTCTTTTTCCAGTTGATTATTAAACTCCCGGGCGGAGCTGTTCCGCACAGCTGCAGCTCCAACGACGCACAGAGACACAAACAAACACCGGAGTAAACAAAAAAACACCGGAGTAAACAAACAAACACAGCAATAAACGAGCTCGGGAGCGAACAAACACGCTCCCGGTCAATAAGCAGACTCCTTTATCTCGCGCCTGTTGCTCCCAAAACAGGCGGGACTCCTCTGCGTCTC